TGTGTGTGTGTGTGTGTGTGTGTGTGTGTGTGTGTGTGTGTGTGTGTGTGTGTGTGTGTGCTCTTGTCTTACTATCTTTGTGAGGACATACCCCTGACATTACACCAACGTTGTGGGGACATTTTTCCAGGTCCACACAAGGAAAATGTAGAAGATGACCTGTGTGTGAGTGTGTGTGAGCGCACCGTTTCCAGGATGCTGGAAGGAGGGGGAGAACTGTTTGGCGGTGACCCGGGCCATGCGACTCTCCTCCTGGGCTTTCTGAGCTGCTCCCACTGCTGCCTCCGCCTTCCCCTGAGCGTGGGCCGTCCTGAAACACAAAACAGAAGCAAACATTTAAACAAACATTTAAATATAAGAAAATACATTTTAAAAACAATGGCTGGCCTGTGGCGTCCCACCAGAGGCCAACAGTTCTCATTCTTGTTTTACAATCAGGTACAATTAACAAGCATTTACATCTGAATTATCTGTGTCAGTGAGTCTCATTAAAGCTGACAAAACTCGTTCTGCAAGAAAGAGACAAACAAGAATAAACAAATTACACACCACACAATCACAGTATCTGTGGAGGGACAGTTCCTGTTTTATCCAATCATTTATTCAGAAGATGAGTTAAATATCACAAAACACTTCATTTCACTGCTTGTCTGACAGACTTCTCATCTCTCTAACAGCTAACTGCTTTCGTCCAGCTCTCTCTAATGGGTCTTTTTGTTTTTTAAAACAATCCTTTTCATTGTCTCCTTATTTTTCTCTGCTTGTGTAAAACCCATCTTCCTTCTGTCTTTGGGCAGGAACCGTCTTGATGCAGTGTTGCATGTCGATGGATATTGATTTCATCTCCTCCCTCTGCCTCTCTGTGCCAGACCCACAGTAAACTGAACACCACGGCGATCTGAAGACTGTCTCCATGTTTGGTTTTGGACACAAATATTAACTTCCTGAAAGATGAAATAAGGAACAAACTGTTTCTGCGACATCTCTTCCCGCTTCACTTCCCGTCCCGCAAACTGTCCTCCGAGAGAACAACCTGTTTCTGCCTCTTCAGAGATTACGTAACACCCGATCCAAATGAGGAGAGAAAGAGCTGCAGATGGAGGGCAGGAGGTGTGAGGCGGTGAAGGAGAGGACGAGGAGTTAGACGGAGTTTAACTTTGTTTTGAGACAGAATAATTGAGTCGATCACGGAGGGGGAAGCAGGAACGTCTCATCAGCGCTACATTAATGACCTGAAGTTAGATTTCCTCAAATAATTAGACATTAAAACAAATCGAGTCCGAGATAAGAGACGCAGAAACATGAGGAGAAAAGAAAAGACAAGGATGGAGGGTGAGCTGAGGAGAAGAGGAGGTCTAATCCAGGACTCGTGCACTAAGCTCCTGTAGCTTCAGTCTGGAGCAGCTGATGATGATGATGATGATGATGATGATGATTCATATCACTCTGAGCCTTCCGGGCTGCATCACTGCTAATCATGTGTGCGTATGTAATCATGCTGTGAGAACATAAATCTGTTTACACGCCGCGCCGACCGACTTCCTGGGCACAGAACGAGCGTTCCTGTAAGAAATCCGTTGATTTCTGCTTTAAATTTGCCGTCAGATTTCAGGAAATGAAGGTTAACGTGACGGGATGGAAACTGTGTGAGGACAGAGTTGTGGGAGAGTGTGTCACGCTTCAGGCTAGCTGCTGAAACGAGGTCAGAGAACGGCAGCGAGGGGCCTCCGTCCACAAAGATCAGCGAGTCGAAGACAGATTTCTCTGGTTTTTACGAACTGCAGGTGACCCAGTCAGACATCAGTCACTTCAGACACTAAAACAAATCCTGGATTTAGTCCAGTGTAACTCCACTGTTCACTTTACAAAGTAAAGCAAAACTTTCTGCGGTGAAAAACATCCTGAGTGTCGAACCCCAGGAAGTCCAAAACTCATCAGATCAGGTTTCTTTAAAAGCTTTCACTCCAAGAACTGAAGCAATTATTGTCTACGCTTTTTTTCCCCGCCTCCCAGGGGTTTTCCTGGAGTTTCCGGAAGGAAACACCCTGCAGTTCAGTTCTGGGACACGCCTGCAGAGGCCGCAGAATCTGGGTTAGAACTTTCTGTGAGTCAAAGAGCCGAGAGCTAACGGTCCGGGCTAAAACTGGAGGCAGAAGGAGGTTATTCTGCAGGATTTGTGTCACCGTTCTGAACATCAGCTGCCTGCATCTGAGACCTGTTGAGCCAAAGAGCAACGTCTCTGCAGCTGCAGCGACGAAAATACCCAAAGATTTCTCTGTAGCAGCTCATTTGATTTCTGACGGGAGTAAAATTAAAAACAAATATAGAAATGATAAAAGCTTTAAACATTGAAACGCCAGATTTTTATTTAAAACTGTACTCCTTCCTCTCACCTCGTCCACCATTACGGTCGGCCCACAATGCATTATGGGTCAGGGTGGGCTGAGAGGGATCCATCTGCAGAGGTCCAGAGTTGTAAAGTAACTAAGTACAAATACTTTGTTACTGCTGTACTTTAGAATTTTTGGGTATCTGTACTTTACGTGAGTAATTATTTTTCAGCCTACTTTTTACTTCTACTTCTTACATTTTCACACAATTATCTGTACTTTCTACTCATTACATTTTTAAAAAAGACAAGAAGTAGAAAGTTGTTACTTTTATTTAATTTTTTCTTGTTTTCATTCCAGCTTGTTATTATAAAAATAAAAACTATCCATATAAACTGAGCCTCCTATAGAGTGAATTTAACTGTGGTTGAATGAGAAGTATAAATATATAAAACTCTGATAGTGTATTAGTTTGTACACAAACAAATCATGTCACACTCCAGCAGGACAGAATCATTCAAATAAAAGGACTGTACTTAAGAAGTATTTGTATTTCATGAATTATTTAAACATAAAAACAGCATTTTAATAACAACTAAAGATGACATAGAAACTTTTTTATGGTATAGTATTTAAATGTATGCCTGAGAAACACATAATATTGCCCCTTTAATTGTTTCAGTTTTAGATTTTCGGGAACTTCAACACGCAGACGGACTTCCTACCTGGACAGGGCGATCTCCGACTTCTGCCGGGCGATCTCCGCCGCCTTCTGCGCCGCCTCCACGGCCCGGTCCACCTTCTCCCTGATCTTGCTGGCCCTGAGCGGGATCAGGTTCTTCCGTTTGCCGCTCACCAGGACGTTCTGCTTGTACTTGCCCTCCTCCTTGGTGCCGTCGGGGAAGGTGGTGCAGCCGTAGCCGTGGCGCTTGTTGCTCAGCCACTCCCCCTCGTACTGCAGCCCGTCGGACCGCCGGCTCACGCCGAACCCGGTCCGCTTGTCGTTCTTCCACTCCCCGCAGTAAGTCTCTGTGGCCGTGGCGTCCACGTCGTCGTCGGCCGCGGCCAGCTCCGCGTCTGCATCTCCCAGACTGAGAAAGGGTCAAAGGTCAGAGGGTAAAATAAACAATAATGAGTTTTTATTAGAAAAACTAGAGTTATCTCCAGATGATCGTTTCTGCTTGGATTTTGTAAAGTTACGACAATAAAGTCTCTGCAGACTCTTACTCAGACCGGATCAGAACTTTGGTTAAAATCATTTGAATCTCATCTTTTTAAATAATCAACCAAAGACGTTAAAGCAGAGAATTAAGACCCGGCGCTGTTTTAAAGTCCATTTAGCGGAACAGGTGCTGGTTTCCTGGAATCTTTGTCCTCCAGATGAAGGGCAGTTCCTCTTCGCTCTGCGTCATCTGATTATCTCAGGACGAGTCGGACTCCGTTAAACACGTCCCAAAGTCGTCCCACAAACACACATTCAGGGCTAAAAAGTAAAACATCCCTTTGTGGGAGGAAACGGTCAGATTTGAGCAGAACCAGAGTGATTGAAAGGTTTGTGGAAATCTGTTTTTCAAAATAAAACTCCAGTCTGTACACAAAGTTGTAAAGTAACTAAGTACAAATACTTCTTTACTGTACTTAAGTAGAATTTTCGGGTATCTGTACTTGAGTAATTATTTTTCAGCCTACTTTTTACTTTTACTCCTGACATTTTTTAAAAAGACAATAAGTATAAAGTCGTTACTTTTATTTTTGCTTGTTTTATTCCAGCTTATTATTGTAAAAAATAAAAAACTATCCATATAAACTGAGCCTCCTAGATAGAGTGAATTTAACTGTGGTTGAATGAGAAGTATAAATATATAAAACTCTGATAGTGTATTAGTTTGTACACAAACAAATCATGTCACACTCCAGCAGGACAGAATCATTCAAATCAAAGGACTGTACTTAAGAAGTATTTGTATTTCATGATGTAATGAATGGAGTACTGAGTCTCACTGAAAAGCTC